AAATTTTTGCATAACATAAACTTCACTCTAAGACGATGCAAGTACGAGGCATGTTTTTAAGTAAGGACCGTTTTGAAATTAAAAAAAGACGTGCAAAGCTATCGCCATAATTTTATTGTTACAGTAAAGTCTGGACCTTTATCTACTTTTCTACATAATTTCCGTAAATATTAAGGCATTTGTCATAACGTGGCACCAGTTTTTGAATACCCTCCTGATAAAATTCTGCCGCCTGGCTTGGAGGTGAAATTCTGCTGAAATGGAGGTGAAATTCTGCTGAAAAACGCCTGAAATTCTGCCGCCTGACTTGTCAGGGAAAAGAAATTTCAGGCGTTTTTGAGCAGAATTTCACCTCCAAGGGAACTTGGCATTGATTCTGATGAAAATTAAATCGATTGCTGAACATACATCGGTTCTCCCGTCAAAGACGCCGTAGTTACAGTGCCTGCCTACTTCAACGACTCCCAGCGCCAGGCGACCATGGATGCGGGTAAGATTGCTGATTTGAACATCGTATCTCTTCTCAACGAGCCCACAGCTGCCGCCATCGCCTACGGCTTCAGTCAAAAGAAAGACTTGAAGCAGAACGTCCTGGTGTTTGATCTAGGCAGTGTCACTTTCGTGGCCGTTTTCGTGGCCGTGGCACTTTCGTGACACTTTCGTTTTTTTTCGTGGTCATTCTTAGCTTGGCAGAAAACGACTTCGAAGGCAAAGCCACAAGTGGCGATATGATATATTGCTGTGGGTTCCGGGAAGTAGGATAGCAGAAGTAGAAGTGGCAGTTTTTCATATGAATCTTTGTATCATGCGACGAAAAACTTGAGACGTGTAACAATGTAGATTTCTGATCGAATACCACTTCGTATTATGAACAGATCAAATCAACCTAGCCGAAATGTTGTCACGACGTGGAAATTCATGCTGAAGTATAACCGTGGTCAAAACCGAAACATCAATAACAATAGTTAAATAATCTACTTGATTATTAACACTCGAAAAAAACGTCGTTTTAGATCTTTCGCAACTTATTGGGATCCGAGGATAAACTTTCAAACGTTAATAGGAAAAGACGGACTTCTGCTATTGAGATCTTTTCGACGTGATGGAACAACTTTCGCTTGAAGGTTCCTTAGCGACGGCGACGTTGATGCACAATTTGACAACAAATCTGCAGATTCTGAAATTTAGACCAGGGTTTAAAATTACCTTCTTAAATACTGTATGCTCTAAGTAATTACTATTTACTCATGTTGTACCTTTGTATTTGTTCTTATGCAGTAAAGTGGAGTGATTCTTCAGTACACCCTTGACCATAAATTATGTTCTAAAACCTTAACATCAAGTGCCAGTTATTTCTCTGGTGCGAACATTTTGCATTTACAATAATAATCAAATAATAATACTGCTCATGGGCGAATGGAGGTTTTTCTGTGATTCAAAGTAAAGATATTAGGACACAGGACATTTATATTCATCCAATTTTTTCTTCAAAAATTCTCAAAAAATCCCAGGGCTGGAATTTAGATTTTCTGTGAACAAGTCACGAAAAGTACACGAATCGGCGACAGGCCACATCAGGCATATTCACCAGCGCCAACATCACTATAATATGAATTATATGATGTGATAATAATATGGTACCGAGATAATACCTCTGCTCACGATTACTTGACTGTCGACTTTTGACACATTGATAATTAGGAATATAATTTTACAAGGAATTACTGCATTAACAATCAGAGCTTGAGAAATTTATTTTAATCCCGTATTCAATAAACTGCATTTGGACGTTGGTCGAACGATTAAACTGCATTTGGACCCCGGCCGAACGTGGTAGTAAATCATTAATCGAACGCTTCACTTTCATGGTGGTTCTCAAGTGCTTCAAATCTTTTGTCAGAAAAAACCTCTTCCTGAAGAAAAATACCATATCGATATTACTATGAGTAATCAGAGTTAGAAAATATCGAGTCATGAGGTCAATAACACGATATAATTTAGTCAAATTCCTTCAGTGAAGCAAGCATCGCGAGGTGACGGCAACCGCAACACACCCCGACTGAACGTCGTTCGTGACTCGTCTGTAACGCGTATTGCTGTTGTCTCCTGCAGAAGCTCATAACTTCATATATTATTGCTAATAGGAGGCCAATGCAGTATTTCATACCTCAAGTAGTATCTTGAAAGTTTATCCTGTCTGTGAAATATTTTTCTTCGAGGTGTATTATTTAATTTTATTGAGAAAGGTTATACCTATACGTTTCTGTGTGGTGGTGTCTGGCACCTTCAGCCTGAGCCCTGGCACGATCAGCGTTGCCAGATGGTATATTTCTATACCAGATTTCGCAAATCTGGTATTTTCAGAAGGTGTCTGGTATGAATATTTTGAATCTGGTATATTTGCCTAAATCTGGTATTTTTCTGGTATTCCTGACTTACTGAAAATTTACTGCATCAAGTTTCACCTCTGAAGTTTGAATTTCCTTCAGCGTAGGCGTGGATTATATACGTAGTTTACCTTCAGAGCGGCGCGACTAGAGGTTTCCCGCCATTTTTGGAACCGAAAGTTTACCGCTTGATGAAATAACCCTAATCTAATTGTTAATATTTAACAAAAGTGCTTAGTGCAATATGAGCACGAGAGTGATGATCCTTCATTGATTATTGATCGGTGATGATATAGCATCTGCGGTTTATGCCAACGCCATCGTGTCTCGTTTAAATAGGCCTAAATTTAATTTGTCCTACAGACAATGTCTTAATATTGCTGATATTCAATCAACCACAATGTTCACTTCACCCGTATCACATGAAATGAAATCATTTTATATCATACTAAATTTAGAAGTTATGGCTTGATTTTTCCATGCAAATTTATAGTGATTCGAAGACAACTCAAAATTTTCAACAGAACACATTCGCCGAACGGTAACCGTTCAAAACCCAACATTCCGAGATTTAATGAAAGCTTGTCTGTCTTGTTGAAAGCTTGTTATTGTGCACAACTAAATCCTAATAGTGTTCATCGCAAATATTCTTTCAAAATATAGTGATATATTTTCTATCACTGCCTATCTTAAAGTGCATGATTTCTTTTTTTGTTCGAACTATTGTTTGTTTCATTTTCTGTTGCTGCGCCTGGGCATACCTAAAAGTGTTCATTTTTCTTTTAAACAGCGGTTTGATTAATTTTAATCTCTACTTACACTGCAAATTCCTATACTATTCCAAACCTTTTAATTATTAGGACATTCTGAGCTATTTTAGGACTATTAAGTTCAGGAGGTTAACGCTTCTAGTTTCGCTTCATCAGTTTAAAATTATCAAATTTCAGAGTTTACTGAGGGCTATATGCTTGAAGGAAGCTATGAAAACAAATAATTAATTGAGATTTTTTGTCATTTTTACTTTATATAATAATTTTTCTGATTTTCTTGAAGAGTTCTCACATTTTATTCTTATTATTGAATGAATATTGATCGATTCAGCCTGGAATGTAGAGTGTAGACTTTCACCCAATCAACCTAATTAACAAGTGCATCAGATGATAACATTGATCGTAGTCAATAACCTGCACTTATATGCCTTTAAATAATGTCTTTTTGTAATAGAATTCATTGTTACTATAATTCTTGTACTGAGTTGTATGAAATCAAGTTTTTGAATACAAATTAATTTCAGAGATTTCGATCTCATCCCCATTAATAGCAGCTAGAAAGCTACTTGAATTGTGTAATAAAATCGGAGCTATGTTACAATATACGAAAATAAGGAGAGCTGACATTAGTTTATTTAGTTTTTCTAAACAATATTCAAGTAACTACTAGATCCTAAGATAGCGAAATTTCCTAATTATTTCTAGAGTTAAAATAGCTCATTCGGGTTTTAAAGATTATTAACAACAATAATAATCCCTCAATAAACACCAGGTTCGTCACAATTCCCTCAGTTCAACGTAGACGGGAGAGCAAATGCGACCGTACATAACACTTTAAAAAAGGCTAAGTGTTAAGCCATTCTGTACATGACACGATTCATAATGCGTGTGTGAAGTCTCAAGCCCAGACGTCGGATGTCTCTCTGCATTATAGATCACTGATAATTACAGTACAGAATGGTTCATGCCTAAAACTACATAATAGAACCTAGCGCATATATCGAACACCTAAATCTATGCAGGTTAAAATTCACTCTGATGAATTCAAGGTCATCTCTATTTAACCCTCCGCTGCCGTATGTCACTCTCCGAGAACATAACTTTCAACTTAAATTATACGTAAACTATTGCGTGTAGCAACCTGAGGACGTTTGTACGCAACAGAGAGCATATTAAAGTTGTACGTGGCGGCAATCATCAGTGCAAGTCATTTTGCCCTCACTAGAACGTATCCTTTTAAGGAAGTAGGCGCGTGACAATATTGCTCCGGTTACTCATGTCAGGCGGTGGAGGGTTAAGTCAACGGAATGGATCCTACATTGAAATGTCAGGTTTTGATTGAATACACAGCCGTTCTCGGCTGTGGTGCTGACCGAATTAAAACACAACCATATAAAACTAAAAGGTTGCAATAAAAGACATATTAATTAATTATAATCCTCTATAATGGGATTGTAATTAATGAAGGGTACTAAAAACAAGACGTGAAGGTTGCTCCACATAGCACAGATTGCAGCGCCACACGAGCAGCAACTCGAAACGGGCCGAGAAATTCATACCATTACCAAATAATGAACTTAACTAAGTAAAAAGTAATGACAACAATATATACTTGAAACAACAAAACCATTCAATTCTTAGCGGCTTGGTCTCGGGACCGAAGTCTTGGAATAAGACTTTGGTTAGTTTTTAAAGAAGAATAAAGACACTTTGCCTGTTTTTTAAGGACATTTCATTGTATAATTGAAACTTGAATTAGGAAATGAAGTCTCTTACTAGCTTTAGTATTATATGATTGTAAAACTTTTTTTTCTTCATCTACTAGGCATCTCGCTTTCACAAGATGGCGGAAAATCAGACACCGGCGATAGGCATCGACCTCGGCACCACCAACTCGTGCGTGGCTGTCGTACGCAATGGACGCGTGGAGGTCATTGCTAACGACATGGGCCACCGCATCACCCCATCGTGCGTTGCATTCACGGATGAAGAGCGCCTCATCGGCGATGCTGCAAAAGCACAGGCAGTGCACAACGCTGACAACACAATATTTGATGCCAAACGTCTCATGGGCCGTAAATATGATGACGAAAATATCCAAAAACGTATAGAACTTTGGCCGTTCAATGTTGTGGAGTCTTCTTCTGGAGATCCAAGATTTCGCGTTGAATACAAGAATGAGACGAAAGATTTTTCACCAGAAGAGATCTCAGCAATGATTCTACAAAAAATGAAAACCATTGCCGAGACATACATCGGTTCTCCAGTCAAAGACGCCGTAGTTACAGTGCCTGCCTACTTCAACGACTCCCAGCGCCAAGCGACCATGGATGCGGGTAAGATTGCTGGTTTGAACATCGTATCTCTTCTAAACGAGCCCACAGCTGCCGCCATCGCCTACGGCTTCGATCAAAAGAAAGACTTGAAGCAGAACATCCTGGTGTTCGATTTAGGAGGCGGTACTTTCGACGTAGCCATACTCAGTATGACAGAAAATGATTTTGAAGTCATAGCCACTAGTGGTGATACCTTTCTTGGTGGCAGCGACATCGATGAACGTTTGGTGGAACATTTCAGCAAAGAAATCAAGAAAAAACAAAAGATGGATATCAAAGACGATTCAAAAGCCCTGAGCAAACTAAGGATTGCATGTGAACGTGCCAAGAGAAATCTTTCTTCGTCGAAGAAGGAACCCATTCTGGTAGATTCTCTTTTCGAGGGCAATGACTTCAAGTCATCCCTCAATCGAGCTCGTTTGATGGAATTGTGTTCTGACCTCTTCAAGAAAACCATGGAGCCGGTTGATGCAGCTTTGACGTCGGCAAAAATGACTATTGATGACATCGACGAGATTGTTCTAGCTGGCGGCTCTACCAGAATTCCGAAAATACAGGAGCTTCTAAAGGAGAAGTTTAATAACCGCAAGCTCAATCAGTCGATCAATCCTGATGAAGCTGTTGCTTACGGAGCTGCTCTTCACGCAGCTTCTAAAACTGGTGACAAGACAATTGAGAACATAAAGTTCGTAGATGTCACCCCAATGACACTTGGGATAAATGTTCTTGGAAACTTGATGAGCCGAATTATTCCACGCAACTCCAAACTTCCTGCGACTAGGAAGAAGAAGTTCGTCACTACTGTTGATTATCAGACAGGTGTGGATATAAAAGTGTACGAAGGAGAACAACAAAGTAGTGACGAGAACAACTTGCTGGGAGAGTTCTCTTTGGAAAATATCCAACCTGCTAAGAAAGGTGTCCCACAAATAGAGGTAACTTTCGTTGTCGACAAGAATGGAATTTTGACTGTGACTGCTGAGGACACAGCCACTGGCAGCAACGAAGAGATCGTCATCCGATGCAACAAAGGCCGACTACCGAAGCATGAAGTCGAGCGAATGGTCATCGAAGCAAAAGAATTCCAGAAAGATGACGAAAAGAGGGAGAAGCTTGCAGCTGCTCGACATGAACTGGAGACTCTCTGCGTTGAGTTAAAGGACTTGATTAGCGAGCAGAGGGACCAAGATCTGCTGGAAGAAGATGAGTTGGACAAATTCATGAACGTTTGCTCGGATACTGAGGAGTGGCTTGCCGAAAATCAACAGGCAACGGAAGAAGAGTACCGTTCCCGTTACGATGCTCTTGTTGAAGTCAAAGAGCGCATACTCAAAAACTAAATTTTTAGCCAAAGTTTGGTTTTCACTGCCTTCATTTTCAGTATAAAATAGCAGCAAAGTCAACTGCATGCATCAGCAACTGCGAAGTCCTTTGTCGTGTGCTTTAGGAGTCTTTGGTTATGTTTTTCATTATTGTATTCATCACTTGAATTGCGTTAACCTTTTGTATTTTGCAACTGCTAGACACCCTGCCTCTTACTTGAACTCTAATTGGCACATGAGTTAATACTAGTGCATAACAAAAAAAGGCTCCTTGATACCAACTATACAGGGTTTTGGGTGCTTTGAAACTCGATCCTCCAACCAAAATTTTGCGAGCCTCAATTGCCATTGAAAAATTCTAATTCCAATATTCAGAACGCTCATTGAAAATTTGAATTATTCGAATTTAATATAATAAATATAAGAATATTTGCCGCCGATCATTCCTCTCTATTTTGGTAAGCATTTAAATAGCAGCCGTCAACAAATTTTCTACTATATGTTAATCGGACTAATTAGCTTAAATTTTTTTTCTTATTAATTTTCAATCGTGTATACGGTTCTATAGGTTGAAGATAAAAATATAAAAACAGCTCTGAATGTAAAGTCCACTATACTTTAATTGAGATAGTCGAAGCTTTATCGTGATTAGTCGCCTGAATTCCGTTGCATCTGTAATTTGAAGCATTTATTACTTGCAATCATTTACATACGGATAATATTGTCAATGCATTTTTTCTTTGAGAAATTCAATCTTTGTTCCTCCAGTTTAACCTTAAAGGGAAAACCGATTAATTTTGTTGTGATGAAATAACTCAGTGAAACATTTATGCGATTCTAAAATACTTACGCTGTTAGTAAAGTACTTCATCTCTATATACCGGTACACTTTTTCAACTCTGCATGTGCATTAAGCGTGTTCTGCCTTTCGCTCATTGTGAGTTCCTTCTTAGGCGTATAGATCAGTTATATAAGTTTTTATCTTTACTTTCATTTTAAGAATACCTTTTGAAATTGACGTTCATTTTAATAATCTTTAATTTTAAGCTTTGCTATCCTGCTTTATAGAATTTGAATTAAATCTGTTGCAAGTCTATAGCATACTTAATTGTCTTGAAATAAAATATGCTATGGAATTCTAATCCATTTTAAACTATAATAATTCTTAGTGAACTACTGACCTGAATATGCTATGGAATTCTAATTCATTTTAAATTATAATAATTCTTAGTGAACTACTGACCTTATCTAATTACTGGAACAAAATTTATAAAAATGTTTTTTCCCTATCTTCTATGAGTGGATGGTATATAAACTCTTCAATAGAAATTAACAGAACTTTATGTAATTTTTATCCTTCCGTAGATTCAACATGCAAATTTTAATCATGTTGCCCTCTCCTTATCTCTTTCAATTAAAGTAAGTAATGGTTACTTGAGCAATATTCAATTTTATTTATAAATTTTCATCTAGAGGTTGCGCATTTTTTATAAATCATTTACGAACAATTGCGTTGATCTAGATTCTAGAATTATTCATCGTAACATGAAAAAATTACAAAGTTTTATGTTTGTTCCCAGATTTCCTCCAAATGAATAAAGATAGCAACGCTCCTTCGTCACTTTCATGGCTTAGTTGAGTAGATTTCCGTGAGATTTTGGGGGGCTTCGTGTTAGAAAAAAGACACGTACCCAGTAATCGCTGTCAAATTTTGAAGCTTAAATGGACATCGGCAGCCGAATAATACAGGAATTAGCTTATTAATAAACAATTACAAGAATTGGTACCATGGTAGACCCTCAACTAAACGTCTGCGATTTGACTTCAAAAAATCCTAACTGAAAATTCGGCTGCAGCGTTTAATATTTATCTGCATAACTTCTTTCGTTTCATTCTATTTTCTAATTGTAACGTACGAATTGTATTTCTAAAAATATAGCGGATATGGCGGATAGTAAAAAAGGAAAGTGATCGTTGAGAGAAATTGTTTCTCATTCACGTTCCTTGATTGCAATGGCAAATCAAAAGATGTCTGTGTAAGCAAAACACGCCCTCGTTCTCATTTCGAAACGGTGCTGCATGTGGCGTAGCCTGTAGAGCTTCTGATAGCTACTTTCCCGTCACTGCAAAGTA